GAGACAATATTCCGCCTGTCATTTCCAAAAAAAAAAAAAAGATCATTAAAGCTTTATAACAATCTTCCAACTGAAATACATTTCGGGTTTTCTACCAAAAGTGTTTAAAGAATTCTTTCAATAAAACTAACTAGTTTAAATGTTCTTTAGGTTTCATGTTTTTTGTTTAGTTATAGTTATTATAATTTAAGATAAGCCAAAAAGCTACCAGCATTGGTTAATAAATAAACGAACAAAACAAAAAATCTTAAGCCCGTCTTGAGTATTCTTAGCAATCCAATTACTATTAAAAGCCGAGCGTTTCTAATGCCATTTATGCCGCCTTTTTAAAGCTTAAAAGCCCAGCAACGTCAACGAGGACAAGAACAATATAGCAAAAAGGAAGAAAATCAAAAAAAAAAAAAAGAACAAGTTGTTAACCCAATTTGCTGTCTTATGGCTTCGCATCGCTATCAAATTCTTAAGCGCATCGCCGCCAGGCGGCGGATGGAGGCAGAAGCAGCAGTCTGAACAGGAGCAGCAGCAGGAGCAGGAGCTCAGGCTGCAGAAGAAGAAGCACGACCTTCACAATGAACTGCACTAGATGAGTTTCGTGGGGAGGACGGCAAACGATAGAGAGAGAGTTGGGGGAGGGAATTATGAGTTGTGGACTCAAATGTCGCATAGTTCACCAGGGCCGAAGGTGGCATCAAAATTATGCGCGTGCATTTCGCAAGACTTACGGGCGAAACAAGAACGTGGGTGTGGGTGGGCGTGGCAGCATATTTATGAGCAGCCACGTTCTGAGCACTCATTAGAGCAGAGTCCTCCGAGCTTCATTAGACCTTTTCAATCGCATGACTTGTCATCAGCTCCTAATTCTATTCACTGTCTGATTTCTATTATTTGTAGCAATTTGTTTTTTCTGTAAATGTTTTCTTTTTTTTTTTTCGAACGAAAACGAAATGTCAACAGGGCATTTAGCAGCGTCATGGTCAGATATCCTGAATTATATATGAATGTGTCCTCGTAAGCACACGTCATTTAGCCGCAAGCAAGGTTTAGAGGATGGTTAATCGGTAAATCAGAGTGTTATGTACAAGGACATTAGGTTAAGCTTTGTGTTTCGAAGCAATCGAATGAAAATGATCGTACAAATTGTTGATTTGCGTCAGCTTTGTAATTGCATTTAATTATATAGATATTAATTATGAAATAGTCGAATAGTCTAATTGCAGAGTATTCAGTCCCTTCGTTCTTTAACTCAATAAAAGTCAATTCATTAGCTCAAAACTCTTGAGAACTTTTTGACAAAACTTTATATTTGCTGAGCAAGCACTTTATTATGCAGCAGCAAAGAGAAATGTAAATTATTCTGTTGGCAGAGTAGAAGAAAATTTTTTTAAAAATGCAACGAAAATTAAGTTTGCCCAAAGTTTGTCATGGAAAATAATTTCGCATTTCGTAGCACACTTTTTGGAGCTGCAGCGTTTCATTTGGAAAAGACAAAGTGAGAGCCAAGCGAACGGCTGAAGTCTAAGCAAATAGTCAAAATCCCGTGCCCCACAACCCGCGCCACTTACGTCTTATGCCCCAATCCATCATTTTGTTGCTTTTGTTGTTGGTGTCGGAAACTAAATGCCTGGCGTTGTTCTTGTTGTTGTTGTTGTGGTTGTTGTTGTTCGGTTGCAACTGGACGGCAAGTGGGCAACATTAGCGCCAGGACAAGCTTTGAAATGCCGGACAGGAACCGGCTGCGACTAGGCAGCAATCGGAACGATTTCCTTCAAAGCTAACAAAACGCACTTTGTGCGACAAGAGTAACACGAACAAATTGAATTGAAGCGTTTCTAATTTTGACAATTTTATGTATGCCTCAAGGAGCCGCCGGGACACGCAAAGGAAACAGAAACACGGCACAGCACACAGCGCACAGCACACAGCACGGCTACAACAACAACGACAACGACAACAACAACACAAAAACTGTTGCCGCCGCTAGGGCGCTCGTCGCTTTGCCAATTGCGATGCCGATTTCAATTGCGATTCCGATTCCGCTTCTCGATTTCCCGGGCTGTGCTGCTGGCCCGAGCAGCATTTACTTCATGACTGAAACCGAAACCCAAACCGAAAAACTGAACTCAAGCGCACAGACACAATGCGCTGCCGACGCCGACGCAGGCAGCGACAGCGAAGTGTGACTGTGACGGCGCCGAATGTGCATGGTGCAGATAACAGTGGGAGCTGCGAGCAGGTGGAGAGCGTGTGAAAGAGAGAGAGAGAGGGAGAGAGAAGGCCACGACAGCACAGGCATGCTTCGGCACTGGAGCAGTCGAGTCGGGTGCCACGACATTGACGAGGACGTTGACAACGACAACAGCAACAACAAGTGGAGCGTCGTATTCGAAAAAGTTCAAGTGGTCACTGTGCGAAGGTTGCTCTACTTGCTGCTGATGTTGTTTTTGTTGTTGTTGTCGAACAGGTGGCAGCGTTCGCAATCGAAAATGTAGCCATAAAAAATAGCATTATCCTTAAAGCCATTCGTCAGAGATAACAGAGTCACAAAGAGAGGCAGTTAGAGAGAGCCATCGGGCGATAGAGCGCGAACGAATCTGAGTGGAGCAGGAGCGCCTAATCAAGAATTTGCACAGTGGTTAAACGCAGCCATAAAGCACGTTCAAATTTATTTCACATGTGAAAAACCTAACTTAAATTTGCCAAAAGTCAGTACCACTGTACGGAAAAGAAACAACAAATAAAACGACGACGCAACCAAAATGAAAGTGACGCAAAGAGAGCAGTAAGAGAATAAGCGCTGCTACATCTTGCTTTTACGCTCATCTCCACTCGTTATTGAAAGCACATTAAGAGAAAACAAGAGAGCTAAGCACTAAGAGAGCACGCTCAAGTTAACAACAACTACAAATAGACAAAAGCAATGACATCGAAATGCTGTTAAAATGCCAAAAACAAACCGTTATAGTAAGCAGACAGACAGGCAGACAGCATAGAGAATAGCGGAACGCGCTGACAGAGGGCCACGTTGGTAAAATGGAATTTATAAAATGAAGTTCGAATATGCATTTGCAATCGAAATCAATTGCAGGTGCTTGGTTTATCAAGTGTGTTAGATACGAACGAATAGCACATTTGTTCTTTTTATTTATTGTACATCTCCCAACTGTAATATTAGCTATCCACTTTAGCGGGCCTTCACTGTACTGATGTATATTTAAAGTCCTTTGGGCAGTTGAACCCAAATGGATTGTTTGGCTGCTCAAATAAGACAAAAAAATGTTTAAGGAAATTGCGACGTTTAAGTGAAATTTATTAGTGCGCTCCTAAAAGAAGCAGCCCAAATGAGCCAGGCAATTAAGACAACGCGGCAGACAGAGACGCAGGCAGCGACAGAGGCAATAAGTGGGACAGGGACAGGACATGAAATATTTACACAAATGCGGTCGCACTTACATTTTACACCTTTTGAATTGCACACGCAGCCCAGCAAGAAAGAGAGGCGGAGAGGTGGGCAGGCAGGGAGGCAAAGCATGTGTGTGTGTTCGCGAGTGTGGAGAGCAGCAGCCGCAGCAGCGCTGGCGGCAACATGTGGCTGCTAAGTGGCTGCGCTGCCAGCCTCAAAACTTTGGCTGTGTGCGTGTGTGTGTGTGTGTGTGTTTCTGTGTGAATGTGTGTGTCAGTGTGGATGAGGCCAACATTTCCGGCCGCATTTTTTTTTTTGTCCTTATTTAAATGTCATTTATGTTTGTCGTTCTACTTAACTGTTGTTGTTGGTAGACATTGAATTCCCAGCGGCCTTTTTGTGTAGAAAGTTTGTCATTTATGTAAATGAATGTGGATGTGTGTGTGTGTGCTTGTGTCTACGTATCGCCTACGTATGCTTTGTCTGATGTATACATGTGTCATGAATTTTTTCTTGTGTCCAAAGTTTTGTTGCCTACTTTGAGGCTGGCGGCGCATTCTTGACACGTCCTTGCACGTAATTCGTGCAAAAAAAAAATATTCTAAATCAGAGATGTTGTAGCCAACAGTCAATAAAAAACTACTCGGACACAAAAATTGATATGGGTATTCCATGCAATTCGCTTAAATTTAATTATTTATGTAGTTTTTTTTTGGCACATTTTATTTTATATTTTTTAATTCAGCTTTTGTAACTGTAAACTATGTGAAAAATTTCAAACAGGTTTGTATACTTTCATGTACTAAAAGCTTTGGTGTGATACTTTGGTGTACTAAAAGCGTATTTCATCGAGCTTTCGTTCAGCCTAGTTCGTTATCCTTGCCCTGCGGGTTTGTGTACTGGCTAAGGAAATAACTTAAATATTGTTCGTATTCTACATATTTACTGTTTTATTCATTTTTTAATAGAAACTAAATGAATGATAATTTCCATTCTTATTGCAAGAATTTTACCACTCGCAATTAAAGTTCCACAATTCTTAGATGAAGTTCTGTATTTAAGTCTAGTATTCAGGTAAAAAAAAAATTTATTTAGTTCGTGGGTTTTTGAAGTTTTTACTTGAACTTTCTATCATTTCTTTCTTTAGTTTGTATCATTTGTAACAGTTTATCTACATTGTACACTCACGTAGCCTTTCACATAGTTCCTCTCTCATCTTATCAGCTTTACTCTAGATCTTGATGTATTGAGCAACCAATTTACAACGTTTTTCTTTATCTATTTTCGTTACAAATTTCCCGCTCTGTCGCAACACTTTGCACTGCCAGCAAAGAACTGAAACTAGTTTCAAAGTTCTACAAAATGTCGTGATATTCGGAACAAGAAAATAATAAAATAGCAACAGTAACAAGTCGATGTTCTTTTTTGTTGTTGTTGTTGTTGTTGCTGCTGCTGTCAGTCAGCATAATTATTGATAAAACAATGCCAATATTTATGAATGAGCTGCCCTCTCTCTACATGTTTCCCATCCAGGAGCTGGCACACTAAGTGATTTCTAATGACCCACAAGCAGGCAAAAAGGATTTCGAGCTGCACTCACCGCGTGACGTCGGATGATTCATGAGTATTGATAAGGGGCACTCGTCGTCGTCAAGTATGTACTCGGTTCCATCGCTGTTAACCTAAGGAAATGGAAACGAAGAATGAGTACGCATGCCTCAACAGTGAGTATTCAGATCTATTCAAACCTGGACGAGGCAATAGTGCAAGGGATCGGCCTTCTCGAGGCCATATTTGCTGAGCATTTCCCTGACAACCGCCTGGGCGCAGTCGCGTATGGAGAGCAGCAGCGTCTTGTAGGGCACATCCTGGCAGAGGCTCTCGCCGTAGATTTTCAGGGTGCCGCCCGTGTCGGGTCCGCCGTCGCGTGATCGAAACTGTTGCAGCTTCTTTTCGAGCTTTTGCTGTCGCCGTCGCCGCATCACCGCCTCCGGATTTGAGATCGAGCGTGTGAACGACGTTTCCGGCAGCTCTGTGTACAGCTTGCCGGCCACCGCATCCCCAGCATCGCCGCCGCTGCCCGCGCCGCCTGCCGCGCTACCGTTCATGTGAGCTGTGCCGCCAGCGAGGCTGCCGACGCCATTGCCCATGCCCAGCTGGCTGCCATTGGAGAGCGGCACATCGGAGCTGAGCTTCGCCAGCTTATCCTTCTTCTTCTGCTCCTTCTTCTCACGCTTCGATAGCTTGCGCTTGAAGTTTAATTCCGACTGCTCAATGGGCTGTAAGAATCGAAGATTTGTTTAGATAAAAGCCAGAAGTTTTTGTTTGTGTATTTATTCAAAACGGAACCTACCGTCGTCTTCTGATCGATATTCTTTAACAAGAACCGACCCTCGCGATCGTCAATATGCCAATTGAGCTGGACGAGCAGCGGCTTCTCATCCGCGTTGAGGCGACGCTCCTCGCCATTCGCGTGCACCTCGTAGAGGGCGTAGTTGGGCACCGACAGCATTCGCATATCGGGCCGAAACTTTTCGATTAATGTGTCTGCAAAATGGAAATTCGAATTAGAATAAGAATTAGAAGTAGACGAAAGCAAATGCCTCGCGACTGACCTATGACATCTGTGACTGTGGCATCGCTGGCAACGCGAATGCATTTGGTGGCCACCTTCTGTCCGGCATCTTGAAAATAGAAGCGCATCACGCCATGGAAGAGCAGATTCTGTATGGAAAAATGTTAGTTTAGTTAGTTTTCCAGCATGAACTGCACTTGGACTCACCTCGTCTGGTTCGGATAGCGCAAAGAGATCCAATCGATTGGCATTCCATTGCTGTATAACTGAACGTACTGCCTCGCGATCCAACATTTTCTTATCATGTGACATACCGAGAGAGGATGACAGAAAGTTTGGGTGGGTGGTGGTAAACAGAGAGAGCGAGTGAGAGAGAGACAGAGAGAGGTAATATGGAGTTTTTGGAATGTTTATCGTATTTGTGACTCCAGTGTGACGTCGTTTATCTGTTGCTGCAGTGTTCCTCCGGCTAACTATAAAAACAAAACGAAACAAAAAACAAACACACACAAATGGGTTAAAATTAGTTTCTAGGTTTACAACTTCCACGAGGCATCGTAAAATTCAAGTTGCACTCGCAGATGCGTTCTGTTTCCGCTACAGTGGGAAATTAGCTGGAAATATCAAAAGTCAATTTGGATATTTTAGGTACATATATGATATCATTATATCATGTTATTAACTTTACTGAAAGCCCCTAAGAGTCCATTCGCATGGCACATGCTGTTTACATTGTGTCGCCAATTAGGTTCCCCTCCCCACCTCCGGCGAACTCTTCTGACCGGTGACCCCAGACGTAAAACAACTTCATCGGGGCAGAAAATGTTCAACACAAATAACCTCAAGTTGCTTTCAGGGCGTGGCATAAACGCTCAAAGTTCATCAGTAAAAAAAAAAACGAAGAAGAAGAAAAAAGCGGAACTATGCCTGAAACGATCCCCTCCTCTTCTCCAGCCGTTCTCCCCGTCTAACTGCTTTATTTCTTGATATCTGTGGCTGGTCTTGGCTCTGTCTGCTTTCTCTGCCTCTTCTTCTTATGCTTCTATATAGTTTTATAACCGTCAACGGTTACGCTTCGCAGAACTCGTCGTTAGCTGCACACAAAGAGGTAATAGTTGAGGGGTGAAGGGTGAATAAAAAAAATGACATAATGAAACATATAACTACAAGCCCCATAAGAAAACTTTGAAGTAAAACAATTTTTGTACTAGGCGAGGGCGAGGGCGTATTGTCTGTTGCAATTTTTGGTGTTGCCCCGCAACGGACTTGCAGGAACCTTCCCTTTTCATGGCCCATGACCAGCAGGACGAAGGAACTGCAGCAGTGCGTAACCAGCAATGGTTTTTATACCCTGTACTCATTGCACATGCAATCGTAATGCTAAATGACGAGCATATTTTTAATAGTTCGTGTTTTTATGGGTATGTAAGAAATTACGAAAATATATTCAACAAATATATATATTTTTATTATACCAAGATACAGGGTATATTCTAGTCGAGCGTTTCAAGCAGTTTCTATATGTTTTGGTATTTTGCTTGGCTTGGTTTTGGATTGCATTTCAATGCCTGATGTTTGGCTAGTCACAAGAGTCGGTTGCTGGGCAGCTTTTGAGGGTTGTTTGGGGGTTGAAATATTTTGAGGATTCGTTTATTTTATTTTGAAATGTTTTATGATTTTTGCAAATTCCAACACTAGTTTATAATTAGGTATAATTTTCTCTTAAATTATAGTGCAGTTGTTAAATATTTTAAATTTCTCGCAAGGCTTCGCTAGTGGGGGGCACTGATAAACCATCAGCTGGGAATGTTTTTTGAATTTGTTTGGACTATTTTACAACATTATTAAAAAGACATAAAAGTGACACTTAACGAGCAGAGTCAACAAACAAACAACTTGTTGTTATTGTTGTTTGTGCACTGAGCCCAAAGATTGCGCTTATTGATAAAGATTGTAAGTAAGCCGGAAAACCGCAAAGCAGACAGGAAAAAAGCAAACGAGCGGAAAGAAAAAAAGAAAAACTGTCGCATGATAAATAGACAGACAGATAAATATATAAAATAAAAGTACCGCAACACAAGACAAGACAAGGCGAGGAACAAAGGCCTCGTTGCCAGAGGTGAATGTCCCTCTGTTAGCATTGGGCGCCAACTCGGATTGGGCCAAGTCAAGAGCACCTGCGCACTGCAAGTCACGATGCCAATATAAATATATATATATATTATTAATATACCAAAAGAAATTACCCAGTGTTGGGCGCTCTTGCTTTCTTTGTGAGTTATAAACAAACAGAAATAAAAATTGAGAATCGCTGCTTGATTTGAGCTGGTGACCTCCCCTTTATTAGTCCGACTTCCAGCTAAGTCACGCACCTTCTCATAGTCCGTCAGAACAACATTTATGTGTGTTTGTGAATCTGATAAACAGTTGCAGCGGTTGGCAGCAGCACTTTCCATAATCAGATAACTAATTGAATTAGTTGCCATTGAGTGGCGCCTAATTAAAAAACAATAATAAAAAAAAACAAATACAGTAAGTCAAGTACAACAACAGCAAAGCGCATCTGCCATCCGCTCAATGACAGCGCGTAAAATGTGCCTCAATCAGCAGAGTCAAAGCTGGGCCAAGTCTCGCAATGTGACAACATCTTTAGTCATGACACAAACCTTTGCGCCTCTTCTCCAGCCCCTGCTCTGTTGCTCGTTTGCTTCTCTGCACTGTTTTGCTTTGATGTGTTTTTCTGTGGCTTCTTCTCTTTTGCCGGGTTCTAAAAACCAGCCTGTGACACTTTTGCACTCGACCAACCAACAACAGTCAGCAGAAAAAGATAAGCACGCGTGCTCGACTGGCAGATACTCTACACAAAGATAGATGGCTTGCAACATTAGATTAAGTAAGAGGGAAAAAGAACAAAATTTAAATGAGAGAAAAATAAAAAGAATGTTAAGAGAAAAAGGAGTGAGAAAGAAGTCGAGAGAGTGTATACACTAAGCAAAGAAAATTGTTTCTTTCTGTCCCTTTTAAGCCGTCAATACCGCCATGAGAATCGCAGAGAAAGGCGACATTTGATGTTTTCTGTTTTTATGTACAATTATTCTGCGATTTGACTATATGCTTGAATTTGATGGCGCTTTGTATTTGCAAATCGAATGACACAGCTGGTGAGACTCTGCTTTGAAAGGGCATTTGAAAAACACACAACACTTGGCTTTATAATCCAATTTAACAGGCGTCGTTTGCCGGTCGACGTTTGTAAAAAATTGCTGGCGACATTTTTATGAAAAGTGTATATATACATATATGGGAGAGATATGTATGTATATATATGTATGTATGTATGTATGTAGCTTTGAAAGTATCTTATTTTCTTGTTATTTGCGATTTAGCCAAGTGTAACTGTTGTTGGCGCTTTGTTGTTGGCTTAGCGATGCTTTTGTTGTTTCTCTGGCCAAAATAAATATAAACACAACTCTTTTATTTTTTACCTTCGTATGTGAAACCAGAAAACTTAAAAACAACCGGCGAATGCGAATCGGCGTCAAATGGCATACCATAGTGGTTGTTGACTCTTTTTTGTTGTTGTTGTTGGTTTACATACCCTATATCCACTGTAATCGGGTATGTTAGTTTTGTTGAAATATAAGTGGCAAATGGTAAAACCTTCCACATATTTGAATGTCATTCTAAAGCACTGAGAGTTTCATAAAGACTCAAGACATTTACACAGTCTGGAGCTCAGTAGAGAAAAAGTGTTGTACAAATTCATGCTACGATGCTGGAAAAGGGTAGCTTCTAGTCAGGCACTCCCGGCTGTTAGCACTATTGTTTGTATGTTTGTTTTTGTAACATGCCCAACGCTTTTTGCCATTACCTTTTTTAGCCCAGCCACCAAACACAGATGAGCTTTTTAGTCAGCCGCAAATATGAGTCAAGTTTTCATTCCGTTTCTGTTGCTTAATTGGTTACTGGAATTGGGTTGAGAGCAAAATTTTAATGAGCCCCAGCCCCAGTGTGTAGAACAATCATGAATCAACGGGGGCAAATGAAATGCGGCGGCGTAGTTGGATTTGAATTGAAATAGATGATTGTGCCCAACAGGAAGGAGCATGCATGCTAAGTAACGATCGTGACTAATTCGTGAAGATCAGCCCCGTTTCGGTCATTGTCAAATTGGACACAGATTCAACAAGAATCAACTGTTTCGAGAAGTTCAATGAATTTCTAATTACCATTTGTCACGATCTGTCGTGATCACACCTTTAAAATTACATTAAAGTTACCTAAATACGTTAACAACAGGCCTATCAAGAATTATTCACGAATTGTGCGTGGACAGGAAAATTGTGGTATGATTTGGATTTGGACTTGAACAACAATTATAATTAGTATAAATCAGGCTTGATTTCAAATAATTTTTATACAAAAAAGTTAAATATTACTCAGGTTTTAATTCAGAAAGCATTTGTACTTGAATTGATTAAAAAATTTTGGAATTTTCACACCCCTTCGTTGTAATTACGCTATTCTGACGGACATCATAATTATTGTCGTTGATTTCAGGAACTACAAGCTAACCTAATTGCAACAAATTGAACCAGCTTCTGGCCTGAGGCACAGCCCAAAATGAACATGATTATGTATGCCACAACTAGAGCCAGGGAGGGCAACATCAACATTTCGTCGTCAGCCTCAATCAGATGCCGCGCCCCACACGGGCTTTTGCTCCTATGCATACTTAATTAGTTGATTTCCCATAAAGTCGACGCTGTGAGAATGTGCACAGAAAATGCTAAATACTCATATACGATATATGTATATTAAGATTATTAAGCCTACGGTATGAAAATCAAATAATCAAAGTAAAAAACAAATAATAATTATTATACGCGCATGCAAAAATGCGCAGCGGAGTGAGAGGGAGAGAGAGAGAGAGCAAGTGGGCGATTGAGCGATAATTTGCATATCAAGCATGGGACGCATTGCTCATACGCCGCATGGGCTGGCTTTTCTTTTTTTTAATTTGCGTGCAACGAATTCGAATGAAAGAAACAAATAATAATTTGGGCAAAAACAAAAAAATAAATGAAATGAAATGAAATGAAATGAAATATATATAGATGACCAATCCATAAACGGAAACTATTAATCAACTTTCACTTGTTTGTGTGTTTTTTTCCCTCAAACTTTAAAGCCCAGTTTGTTTTTTTTTTGTTTTCTAACCTTATTTGGCCGTGTTTATTAATGAAGCAGCCAATTTTGGGCCAATGTTTGTTTATTTGATGTGTGTTTCATTTGTTGTTAATTTGCTGCTCGTCGCTTAACAGAGTCAACAGGTTATTGACTGATTATGCTTATGGCTTTATCTATATGCCATTATCTTGACTTCGTCTCTTGATTGCCAGGCCCGCTTATATGTATATATTTCTGATTACAGGTTGCAAATAGAACGAAAGAACACACTTGATTTTTATCT